TGCAAGCGCCAATCAGCTGTAAAAATGGCTGCCCTGCGAAGCATGAGTCCGGAAAACACAGGGCAGCCATTTTGCACAGTCTAAAAAATCGTCATCTTGCGAACAAACAGTTCACGAAGCACGGACCTAATCGACCTCCAGCGAAAATCCCCCATAGGAATGACTGTTTCGTGAATTGCTATAGCGATCGAAAGAAATGTCATCGTCATGTGGATCCATCGTTTAGTGGGGTCGTCGTTTAGTGAGGTACTACTGTATGTGGTTTTAATCTCTCACTCTACTACATCCTCGCCTCTGTCTCCTTCCTTCTTACCTGTTCAACCTAGCACACAATCACCAGCCCACCTTATTAACTTTGAAACTTGCAAGCAATTTTTTAGAGGGAACCATCCAACGGCGATGTACAAAATTAAAACTGTAAAGGAGTAAGGACAAAGCACTGGAATGTCTGCATTGAGCAAAACAGACAACACTATCTATATGTCATCCAGTACATGAGCTCAATTTTAAATCAGGATAAAAATTAGGTCTTTTTCTAATGACAGAGCCGGAAACGGAATTCTACAAGTGAGGAGCCACACTAAGGTGGCCCAGGCTTGTCCCCAATAATCTAATTGTTCTTACAGGGAAAAAGATCAGCACAGCTTCTAATTTTGCCAACAGAGCACAAAAGTTTAATATGGGCCAAGAGAGCCAGTCAAGGAATTTGGACCTAAACTATTTAGGCTTTAAAACTCACACCAGCCCTCTAAGCTAGGCCTGACATGCACTTAAAGAAGCTAGTGCCATCTAGCTTGCCATGACCTGATCACCTAGCACTTACTAACACTTGAATGGCAACCAGCAATCTAGCCTGGATGTTATTAGATTATGGATAACTGAAGCAAGATTCATATATGGCTTTAAATGGCAAGCTAGCATAAGGTGGTAGAATATACTCCTAGCCACTGCCATGAGCTCAAGTCCCCCGCAGTTAACTCAAAGTTCAGAACTGCTGGTCTGCCTTTTGGTTAAGATCAAGTGTTATACAGTGTTGCCTCGCTTTACAATCATTCTGTTTAACGACGAAACTGCATTACGACGAACTTTTTGCGATCACTTTACGATGTTTCCTATGGGGGAATTTCACTTTGCAATGATCAGTTCCCTGCTTCGGGAACCGATTCTTCGCAAAACGATGATTCTCAGACAGCTGATCGGCAGTTTCAAAATGGCTGCCGGGTAAACAAAATGGCCCCCCGCTGTTTTCTGGGACGGATTCTTCGCTGCCCATCGGAACGCATTAAACGGGTTTTAATGCGTTTCTATGGGCTTTTAAATTTCGTATTATGAAGTTTTCGTTCTACAGCGATTTCGCTGGAACGAATTAACATCGTAATGCGAGGAACCACTGTATCTGTTCTTACCAATTTAATATCTGATACAACCTTTATTTGAGGACTATATATTAAATGGATTTGAGGGGCTGGGAAGTGGAAGAGGGAACTACTCCATCCATTCCAAACATTGACCTGATATTGCAGTATCTCCCGGAACAGTGCACCTCTCCTTTAGGCACATTGTGGGTATTGTTTTGTGTAATTTGTTGTCAGATGGGTTGCAAACTGCCCAGAGAATATTCGCACTAATGGGACAGTACAGAAGTCAAAATAATAAACAAACAAACTCACTCACTCACTCACTCCAGAACAATGTACTTGGTTCTTTGGGGGAACTGAAACCTCATAAACCTTGAAATTTTGTGGGAGGGGGATTGGAGACATGTCTTCCATGTCTATGTTCATTGGGATGATGGAAGACTTGACTTGACAGGATGGAACTGTGGTTTTGCTACATTTGTTTTATGAATTCTCATGTCATTTACCTATATTTTAAACGTTTTACAGAGAAGAGAAACCTCTGAAGTACTAAGGTAACTTGAAGTCTGCATCAAGTTAGCAGATTCCAAGTTTAATACAGATGATTTTAATGCTGTCCCACAGAGAAGAAATTCACCTTCAACGCTCTTGACTGTTTTAGTCTTGAGAACAATTGTGATGTGAAAAGGAAGGGTCTTCTCCACGAGCAATAATACAAGGGAAGGAGACATGGTGCACTTGTGCCTTTCTGTGTCCATACTTTTGACTCTGCCCCCAAAATGTACAAACAAGGAGATTAAAGTAGAAAGTAACCTCCTCTTCCAATATGCTTTATTCAGGCATTTAGACTGAAAGCATCTTGGGCTCAGAGGGTGGCAGAGATATAGGGATGCAAGACCCACCTCCTATGACCCCACACCAACTGGAAGTCCTGCAGATGCATGTACGTTCAGCACAAAGGCCTGCATATACGTTGTAATTCTCTCACAGGAAAAGCCGTATGCCCTTGGAAGCTATTACAGCACCTGTGCAGACCTATGCAAATGAAAAACCAAGATGTGCAAGACTTCTGACATGGAGGCCTGGGTATATGTACAGGTCTCCATCATGCTCTGAGTCCAACATCTTTTCAGGCTGAATGCCTGAAATTAGGACTAATGGTTTTTCAGAAAGGAATTGATCCAAGGTAACAGAGAAGGAAAGAGAATCTAGGTGAAACAGGGAAGGAATGGATGCTAAACTCTGTTTAATAAGAAAGACAGATGTATACTGCATCAAGAGTGCGCAATTTTTTAACAGACTGTCAACAGCAGCTATTCAAAAAAAGGTTGAGAATGGCTGATTTAGAGAATAATATCTATGCAGAAGTAGGATTGTCAAGGACAGTGAATAACACAGTGAGAACACAGAGAATCCTTTCATTTCACCACACTATCACAATATTCTGCCAATATAAAATATTCTCCTCACAAACTCGACCTTGTGCAAAAAACCACATCCACCTTCAACTCTTTTCCAGTGTGAAGTAATTTTACAATACACACCTAATTCATACACTTGGTTGTGCACCCAGGCGCACAACAAGTGGACAGAAAATTGCAAAAAAAGAGTCTTGCACAATTCTTTTAGGTATGTACCGTGTTTCCCTGAAAATAAGGCAGGGTCTTATATTAATTTTTTGCTCCAAAAATATATTAGGGCTTATTTTTGAGCCTCGTGGCGCAGTGGTTAAAACGCTGTACTGCAGCTAAAACTGTGCTCACGACCTGGGGTTCAAATCCCAGGTAGCCGGCTCAAGGTTGACTCAGCCTTCCATCCTTCCGAGGTTGGTAAAATGAGTACCCAGCTTGCTGGGGGGGTAATGTGTAGCCTGTATAATTAAATTGTAAACCGCCCGGAGAGTGCTTGTAGCGCTATGGGGCGGTATATAAGTCCAAATAAATAAAAAAAAATTAAAAAAAATTTTCAGGTGATGTTTTATTTTACAGTCATGTCATCTTCTTCTGGTTGCTGCATAATGCTGCACAGTGGTGGAGGGTGGGGTTTCACTTAAGTGGGGCTTATTTTTGGGGTAGGGCTTATATTACAAGCATCCTGAAAAACCATACCAGGGCTTATTTTCAGGTTAGGTCTGAAATGCAGGGTAGCCTTTCGCAGGGTAGCATTTTATTTATTTATTTATTTATTTATTTATTTATTATTGCATTTATACCCCACCTATCTAGTCGAACGACCACTCTAGGTGGCAAGAACACTCTGGCTGAGGTGTCGCAACCTCATATTCTGAGGTTGAGAATTACATTTTGCCTTAGTCCTCAGCCACCAATTCCACATACACACACCCAGCAAAACCTAGGGCAGTCATACCTTCATGATAGTGAATGAAATGGCACAGCAACAGTTGAAAGAATGTAGTACAGATGGAAAATAAGGTGAACACTCTTAAATCCACCCCAAATCTACATGAGTTCATCCAGGGGTTTATGCTAGAGAGCGGATGGGGGAAATGCAACCCCCAGATGAGGGAATTGCACTACAACTCCCATGATCCCCTGACAGAGATTATTTTGAGTTTTCTGTATCCGTAGAGGTTTCTCGATGGATAATGGTAAGTACTTAACTACTGGACATCAGACAAGCAAATCTGGCTTCCAGCTTCCAGTCCTCTGAGTTTTCCTTTTAGCAAACCATCCCAAACCACCCTTTATCATAAAACAACGGTACCCTGTATGCTTATGTATATAATAAACTCTGCAGGTGGGGAGAGGAAGAAAAGGGGAGAACGACAGAGTTGTTCAGGCATGAACTACAGTGGTGCCTCGCTAGACAGTTACCCCGCATGACAGTTTTTTCGCTAGACATTGACTTTTTGCGATCGCTATAGCGATTCGCAAAACAGTGATTCCTATGGGGGAATTTCGCTGGACAATATTTGGTCCCTGCTGCGCAAACCAATTTTCGCTAGACAACGATTTTGACAGCTCTCTCCGTGCTCGTAAAACGGGTGTTTTTGGGACCTAAGCGTCACAAGACAGCGATTTAAACAACTGATCGGCAGTTCACAAAGCGGCTTTCCTATCACCAATCTTCGCTAGACAACGACGATTCTTCCCTATTGGAACGCATTAAACAGATTTCAATGCATTTCAATGGGGAAATGCTTTTCGCTAGACGATGATTTTGCTAAACAGCGATTTCAGTGGAACGGATTATCATCATCTAGCAAGGCACCACTGTATTTCGTGTAACTACCTCATTAAAAGTAAAATTGTTCCCATCATCTGGACAATCAAAACAAAAGGTGGATCTTTGCTATAGGTAGTGGAGTAAACTACATAACTAGACTGTACTGGTTTCAAATCTTTTTCTAAAGACAAACATTTATTACAATAGCAATCATTAACAATATTTCATGCTCAAAAACCATCACTCCCTTTTCTGCCTGTTTTCCTACTGTGTGAAACTGACAGCACAAAAGACAAAGGAGTTGCCAATAAGAAGCATCACAGAAAATGACTGCAAAATATCAGTGTCACCTTGAGCAGTGCCACTCCAATTGTACATTGCTCAACAGAAGTGAAGTGGTAGGGTATTTTTTTAAAGATAGATATCCTGTTAAGTTAAAATCCTGATACCTGACCCCGATCAGTTTTAACAGGCTGGATGCAATGGTGCCATTTATAAACTGAGAACAAAAAGAAGGCTCAAAACAAATTAGGAGGCAGAAAACTTACTGCTAGGGCTTTTGACAGCTTGGTTCTGTAATTGTTCAGGACAATAGAAAGAAAATCCTGATGTAGTACATAAGCATAACCGCCATGGAAGAAAACTTTTCTTGCGCGAACCAAATCTGCAGCATCACAGAAAGGAACCTGAAATTGAAAAGAAAAGGGAGATGAAATTTCTAAAAGACCAGCAAGGATGGCATTTTAACTTAAAATAAAGGAAGCAACTTGTTTTAGAAAACTAATGAAGGGAATTTGGGAGATGTGATGTAAAACGTGTACCAATTCTTTAGCATCTAAGAGAGCTCATAACACTCTAGATGTCATTAAGTGTCTATTTCCCAGCCATATGAATGTTTAGCTTGTATACAAAATATGAAAGCTCAACAAGATTTTACAAAGAGGTAATCATGTTAGTCTGTCTCTCCACTTGGGCAAAAGGAAAAACAAAACAGAACAAAAAGAGGGGAAGAAACCCAAATATTGAAGCAATCTATAATTTCCAGTATCAAGTCTGAGGAAGTAGACTGTGATCCACAAACGCTCACACTGAAGTAAAATTATTAGACTATATAGTATTGCAATATTTTATTTCTTTTTGCTTTTTCCCCTTTTGCGAAGGTGATTTTAGGAACTTTTATTATGCATTTTTGCACTTCAGAAAGACGTTTTTTGAAATGGTTGCCAATTAACATGGCAATGCATCCTGACATGTTAAACTAACCACGTACTTTCAGGAATTACCATATATGTTCTGAGAAAGCAGGCACAATTTTGCTTCTAGCACCCCTTCTATTCCTCAGTGACAGAAGGCTGCAGGAGAAGGAAATTATTTGTACCTCAAGTATACAGGGAGAGGAAGCCCACGTGTTGTTGCCGGGCTTCTGTCACTTTCAGCTTTTTGTCAAAGGCCTTAGCTGTCTCTGAACTTCAATCTGTTTAGCTCAGTGCTGGCCATTTTTAAGACACGCACATATTGTATACAAATGCATACAGGGCATCAGAGGGTAAACTAATTAGTTTTAAGATGCCTAATGTGAAATAATAATGCTAACAAGTTCTGTTTCAAGAATTCCTTTTTTTCCTTGCAAGGAGCAAATCCTTCTTGTCATGCATTGTCCTGCAGACCTTGTAGGCATATGATCTGCTTTAATACTTGAATATGCAATGTTCAACCGGAGAGAGTATTTCATCTACTTATCTGGATAAAAACTGGCAGTTTAAGATTAGTAAATCAACCACCCATTTCCTTTCAGACAAATCTTTTATACTAGAATTACAGTCAGAAGGAATCAGAACATGAAATAGGAGCACTACTCAGCCAAGTGGGAAGAATGGAAGAAAAGTATCAAAAATGTTCATTTTGTACTAAATGCCAATACAATCTATAGTGATTTCTATTACCTTATAGAAGATGCAACTGTTGACATCAGCCTCAGGAGTCACATATCGTAAATCGACATCAATATCTTTTTTTTCTGTTTCCAAAGCCTAAAATAAAAACAGTTTTCTTTTCAAGACCTACTCAGAATGCTTTAAAATAAATGAAGACCTTTTAAATTTAGCATAAACTGAAAGGTAAATGTAGCAAAAATGCAGAAGTCAAATATACTATTCACCGAAAAAGAAAGAATTAAAAAGAAAATGGTTGTGCTTGGGTGTCATGCCAAACAACAGTGAATAACTTCTGAAGATGGGGGGGTATTTCCCCCTCTCAAATATCCTGCATACATACTGTACGTCTTCACAACCACCTTAAGACAGACAATGTCCCGAAATATAGTGTCCGTGTGTTATTAATTTTCCTCAGTCCTAGAAAAGAGCACAGGTTCAGTGATCTTCATTGGTGATTTTCCACTTCTGGATACTCCACTATGAACATCCGTTTAGGTTAATGTGGTATTCACAGCCCAAGCCAGGCTCAACCGCTTCCCAAAACAAACGTCTAATGAACTTTCTTTTATTCTGAGAACAAGCCATTGATTCCTTTCCCATATTGCCCACAATGCATCATATCCTAGTAAACATGTCCAGGTTTACCCAGGTTGAAACTTAATGGCCCCCACCCTTGCACACACACCCCACACCCTCCTCTCTTCTCTCAGTACATGTCCAGGTTTACCCAGGTTGAAACTTGATGGCTCCCACCCTCAACGTCCGCCCCCCAATGCCCTCCTCTCTTCTCTCAGCCTCCCAAATCATTTCCTTCACACGAGACTCTTTCTTTCTCCTTCACATTCTCCTTCAACTTATACCAGGGATAGAAATACACTATCTCAGTGCGCACACTCTCTCCATCCCCCATCCCAATATTAAGGTTCATGTTTGCCTTTTTTTCTGCCTCTGTCCCTGCCCTAATACTCACAAGACAGAAAGCTATCCTCTTCAGACAGTGATTTCCAGAATCCCACAGCTAGCAGGGCCAGTCAAGAGATAACCTCAACATTTATTTAAGTTGGGGCCTTGGTAGTGTCCACACAAAATGCTCTTTTTCTGTCCTCAGTGTTTTAGTGATCTTTTGGGACAAACACACACAAACACACGCAGAGAGACAAACTTTCTGCTGTATTCCAAAGATTTAGCATCTTGCTTGGCCAAGCTGAGGCTGCAACAGATCCAAGAAGCTCAACACAAATGTTTTTAGCTGCTTTTATAACCAATTACAAAATGGCTGCATTTTGATTCACAATATCCAGAGCTATACACTATGTGCAGCTTTGTTTTATTGTTGCGAAGAACACATAACGGAGGCTGTGCCCAGGAAATTTTATGGCTGAGCAGGCACTTTGTGTGTTCAGATCAATCTTAAGCAGTGCATCCTCGTGTTACTCTAAAACTTAACTAAAATTTTAAATCGCAAGATGGCTGAAGAACCAGTTATGATATATGGCACAGGGTTTGGTTTTATTTTGAATTATTTTTACAGGTTTATTGTAATTAGTAAAAACAATCTCAGAAAGGTCTATTTAGATCTCTGTTGATAATCACCATCTGTCTCCAATCAAACTGAGAAAATGAACAAATTAAAACTCTTAATTAGCACTGCATATATTTTCCTCAAATTGCTTTCCATTATGTTTATGGAAGTGAGAAGAGGCAGCCATGCTAGTTATTCTTCAATCACATTTACTACTCTGTTTTCGCAAAAGTGAAGAAACCAACATGCCATATGGATTGAAAACTACATCCAAGGATGGAATTCTTGGAACAAACTTTACAAAACTGCTCTCTGAATAATACAGCCAAACTGTGTCAGGAAGGTACAGAGAGTGACAAGAAAAGGTTAACAGTAAGCCATTTTTTTCTCAAAAACTCAGAACTGCAGAGTAGATTCACCGCTAACCTGCGAGATCAAGAGCCACACGGTTCTAAGCAAACAAGAGATAGCAGATTAGTATTCTCCAGAACATGAACATCACCCGACAGAAAGACACGGGGGTCAAGTTCCAATAAAGACAGGTCAACCAGAAGTTCACTACTCAAGGAGCAAAAGAGATTTCTAAATTATTGCAGAACCCTTTCGTAAAATGCAACATATTGGAAAGATGAAGTCACAGCTGCTTCCAGTCCTCGCCTTGCCACATGAGACTAATATTAACCAGGTCACTCCTTCACAGTTTCCAAGCCCTGACCCAGATAACTTTTCCCCGAAGCAGCAAATGTTCCTCCAGATCTTCCCCTCTCAAAAATCTCTTGTTGTTTTGCCAACCTCAGTTTAGTTGGCAGATACACAGAAGTGGATGAGGGGGTCGTCTCCTTGGTACGTACAACGTGGGCCACCTGTAGCCCTTGGCCCAATTTCATAGGGCTCTTGGCTGAAATTCGCAAGCCCTCTAGCAGTCATCTGTCCATCCCCGACACCCTACTGGCCAAACAGGAAAAAAGGAAGAAGCAGGTGTGGGTGAAGAGAGAGAGAGATCTTGCGCACTACGATAAAAAGAGAGAGCTACGTTACATAGGCTTGCAGCCTGATCTACTACAGGTTGTCGTATGTGCTCTGTTCTGCAGGCACTGTGACACTGGGAAAGCGGAAAGCACTACAGGAAATTCAAAGTGGTGGAAATCTGAACTCCAGCGAGGCAAGTCAAAACACAGGAGACGGCAGGCACTTTTATTAGATTAATTAACAACTGTCAAAGCCCAGTTATCCTTGTGATGCTTTTAAAGCAAGTCAAGAACTCACCGCTCATTGAGATGCTGAATTACCAGCACTCACATACTTTCCTTCCACTTTTCAATTAAAAGGGCTTGGAAGTGAAATAAAATGAAAGAGTGCCGGCTCTTATCAGAACAATTCATGATAAAACAGGAAACTGAGGAAGTGCCATTTGCACTGTTTAGCAAACCTCTTCAAATCCATTTTTCAAACCACACATACACAAATATCAAAGAGCAGCTACCTGGGGGAAAACGAAACCACACTGACATCTGCTACCCAACTTTTTTCCTTCCTGCCCAGCAGCCCAAAAAATGGAACTACAGAGCATTAGCGCCTCCAGCTGACTATTTCAGGATATATTTTTCCTCCCTTTATAAGTTCAGAAAAAAGCAGTTGCAGAAGAATTTAAGAAAAATTATACAGACAGCAGAATGATTAATACAGAGATATCTGGAAAATTCAGAATCTGCACGCACCAATGCACCACCGTGTGGCCATGCAGCTTAAAGGGAGCGCTGATGATACTGCATCTGAAAACTTTTTGTTTGCTACCATCACAATGAAAGATTTTTTATTCGTAAAGAACGCCATTAATGTTGAATTAAAGAAGAATCAGTCAGTTATCAGTTAAAATCCAGGGATTTTAGATCCACAAGCCCATGCAAGGGACACACATTTAAGTCCTAATAGGGTCAACAAAGCTCAAAGATGTGTACCTGTACACTAGGTTGTGATCTGGATATACCTGCCACTGCTACTGAAAGACAGCTGTACCACAACATAGCATGCAGGAAAACACAGTGATATGATCACGACCAGGTACCACCATCCCACTTATCAGAGGTACGAGTCTCTGGTCCTTTGACCACAAGGAATCCACTCGAAGAAACCCCCAGAAGCAACTCTTAGTGATGGAGTTTTTTTCTTAAACAGATCAAATTTTGCACAATAGGAGATAATCTGTAGGTAACCAACACAGGAGCCACGAGCTACTCTCAAGTTTATAGCCATAGAGAAAGTGGTCTCGATTTCTACAGGAGGTCCATGCCCTTCTGGACCTCAAGTAACACATATTCCTGTGCCCCCCTCCAATTTTCTTCCTTTACTTAAAAAGCTCTTTTTAAACACAGTGTTCTTAGATTTTTTGCTCTGTTTGAGACCCAGACATCTGTTCACTTCTAGTCTTAAAAAAAAAGATTCCACCCCCCAGGTTAATAGGCTTAGAACTTAGGAAACAGAAAACACAGAGAAACTGCACCCCATTTGCTACTGAGGACATCTTCTCACGTAGAGTTGATAAGAGATTTCTCTCTCTTTTCTTGAAAAGTGTCTACATGTAACCACTGTTTATACCTCAACCTCAGCATCTGTTTCTGACATTTATAAATATATTATAAAAGAATTAGTTTTCTTCACCAATAAAAAACAGGAGACAGTACAGCTCAATCCAGGGCTCACCCACTAAGATTATAACACTTTAATATTGTAAAAACATATATAACCTGCATACTCGCATTAAATATTTTGCTAGATAAGTATTTAACTAATTAGAATAAGGCCATTTTCTGTAATCATCATCATCATCAACCTGTGCAGTAGGCCCAGGGGACAAAATGAAGCAGGTGAATGACTCATAAAGTTCTGCTGAGCCAACAAACTATTTATTGCAAATATAAGCTTCAAGCAACAAAGCAAATGACTGTATACATAGAAAATGCCAATACATAAATCAAATAGTGCCCAAAATACCAGGAGCAGATTGCGGTACAGTGGTGCCCCGCTTGATGACGACGACCCGTTCCAGGAAAATCACTGTTAAGCGATATTGTCGTCAAGCGGGGGAAAACCATTGGAATGCATTGAAAACCGGTCAATGCGTTCCAATGGGGGAAATACCTCATCGTCCAGCGAAGATTGCCCATAGAGAACCGCCGATCAGCTGTTCAAAATCACTGTAATGCAAAGCTTCCCTCCAGAAAGAAGCCATTTTGAGACGGGAGGGAAGCCGTTTTGTGGAGGGAAGCCATTTTGCGGAACCGGAAAAATCATTGTATAGTGAACAAACAGTTCGCGAAGCAGGCTCCTAACCAATGTAATGCAGATTTCCCCCATAGGAACTATTGTTTTGTGATCGCAATAGCGATCGCAAAAATGTCATTGTTAAGCGATTTCGATGTCATGCGGGGTAAGCGTATAGCAGGGCACCACTGTACTGATCATGAACTCTTAATATGCAATATTAGTGTAAAGCTGAAAAAGAACACTAAGAGAATTATAGTGCCAAAATATAATTGAAATAATATTCCTGATGAATTTAAAGTCCACATTTATAACTTAATGTTTGCCACGTAAGAAGTTAAAAAAATAAGCAAAATGAAGAATTTTTCTGACAAAAACCTTGTGCTTCTACTGTGACTTTTCCCCCCCTTTTCTTCAAAAGCATTTCATTCATTCCTAAAGAGACAATATTCTAGAGGACTCTTTTCTGTATTCACTCCCTGGGAAAAAAAACTGAAACACTGCTTTCCCCCTCTTCCCCTTGAAACCCTCTGCAAAACCCCAGCATCTAGCCCAGGAGGTACACAAGGCTTCAATAAAAAATCTCTTTGTCACATCCCTTTATAATACAGTTATCAGTAAAAGACAGATAACACAGATAGAATACCTATTGTTTACATACACTTTGGCCAACAACCACTCCTGGTTTCAAGATGGCTTATGATGCAGTTTTTATCTAGGCGCATTAATTCAGAGTTCAGTTTTCACAAGAAGCTCCCTGCCCCTCCGTGTGGAATCCACCCACTTGCAGCTCTAATAGGAACAAACCTCAGCACGGTGGAAGTAAGTCAACTGTCATGGGGCACTGCCAGAGGAGACCAAAATGGAAACACACTGTACTTACTACGTCATATGCTAAATTAGCATATTCAAGGAACTTTTTCGCCAACTCGTCACTTAGTTGTATGAATCTGTAGCGGAAAAGATCCATTTCTTGCTGGATAAACCACCGCCTAAGTTCCTCCCTGCAAGAGAAAGACAAGCTGAAGGACATGTAATTGTAACAAGCACATATTTTGGGTTCTTTACCTTTTTTGGAAGGCAGATAAACAACAATATCCATGAGTCACATTCATATGTTTCTTTTTGGAAATAACTTCCTTACATAATTTGGGTTTTAAC